CTCAAACCTTTATGCTAAGCAAAAGAAGTCAGATACAAAAGATTATGTACCATATGATTCCATATATATAAAGTTTAAGAGCAAACAAAAGAAATCCGTATAAATAGAGATTAGAATAGTGATCACTTCTGGGAAGAGGGAAGGGCCATGAGGCAGGGTGATGGCAAAGCTCTATATTTTGATTGGTCAAAAACCTTTGACGTGTACACTTAATATTTGTGCATCTTCATGTACGTATTTATACCCCATTTACACACACACACACACATGCACACACACACACCCCCATGCACACACACACACACCCCCATACAGTATAAATTGAAGATCCCATTTCCTCCCAAACCCATTCCCTTCTTCAGTCATGACCACTGTTTTTATAGACTGGCGTGGAGTTTCCAGGAGTTCCCATTTATATGCATGTGTGTCTATATACATCCAAATAGGCATTCCTATTTTAACATAAGTAAGATCAGACTATATGTATTATTTCTATTTCTGCTACCTGCTTTCCTTTTTGAGTAATAATATATCCTGAAGGCTTTTCCATGTCCATACTTCATTTTGCCTTAATCTTTTTAGCGACCCTGATTTTATGTTATGAATATACTTAATTTCTTCGGTTTCCTTCTGATGGATGATTAGGCAATTTTCAAATTTTTACTTTTACAGTTGTAATGGAAATGTTTGTGTATATATATAATATATATATATGTGCACATGTGCAAACACTTTTGTAGGTTGTTTTCCTAGAAGAAGGGTTTGCTTAGGCAAAAGGAAGGTATGCTTTGGTGGAAATTGCCAAATTGATTTCCAAAAATCCTTTTGTTAATTACACTCCTCCTGACCAATGTGAGAGAGCCAGATTCCTGCATTCTTCCCAGCAATGAATATTACCAATCTTTAAAAGTTTTTGAGAGCAGATGGGTGAAAAAGTGGCGTCTTTTTGTTTCTATTGAGATTTCAAAATAAGTTTCGATTTTCTCCTTGTTTTGCAAATATGCGCATGCCCTTGGACAAACATATGCATCTCCTGTGCTGCACTCCTAGCTATGTAATTCCAGGGGTCTCAGAGTCTGACACGTTCTCACTACCAAGTTAGCACTTTATTCTTAGAATTTGACAGATGATTCTAGTGAAAATGGCAGGATTCTGTTCTCTCTGACATGCTTTCTTAATATGGTAGTCATTGTTGACCTTGAACCTGTTGGACATTTTTAATTTAATGCAAATTCCTTGATGGCAACTGAATTTTGAATAGTGACATCCCTTGCTTTATGAAACTGGTAAATTTAAATTAAACATTGAAAATTAACCTTACCACTATATTTTCCAAATACTTCTTTTACCATAATTGTTTTTATCTTTTTAAAATTTACATTTTGCATATATTCTTAATGCTGCTTTTTTTCTGGAGAAAAAATTCACCCCAAAGAAACCTTTTTTTTTTTTTTTTTTGTTTTTAAATAATGGAGCAGGTCAGTCTCTGGCAGAGCCTTGCCAAGTGGTTGGGTGTTTGACAAAGAGTGATACTTGCTTCTGGGGCAGAATAGTAAGAAGGCATGGCAGTCTCCATGACCAGGGCCCTTCCCGTCTAGATTTTGGAGATATTTGAAAGCTGTACTGAATTTAGCACTTTGATTCATTCAGTGTGGGTGTACTTCTGCAGGTAGGGGAAGATGTGGAGACTGATAGGTCACTTACAGATTTTATTCTTACAAATGCTGAAGTTGTTGCTAGCAAAAATCACTGTGGTCATTTTTTCACTTAGCATCTGTGAGGGAATTTTCTCTTCTCTAAGAGATCTAGTATTTTTAAATTTCATGACTCCTCTGCCTGCCTCCCTCATAAATTGCCATTTTAACCTGTGTTTTAGGTAGCCTTGGGGCTTCCCTGAGAAACACTTGAGATAAGAGTTCTCTGGTAGTGAGGCTCTGCTCACCTGTTCCACCCCACTTCTTGCTTCTTTCCTACCTGTGCGAGAGCATTCCTTCATTTCCCTTTTGACTTTCAGGTAAGCATTAAGTGAAAGAAAGGCTTCAACTGCTAGAAATATCTTTGAAAACCGTGGCACTACTTCAGGAGAGTGTGGACACTTTATATGTAGCTATTGACAGTTTCATGTACAAATACAAGATGATCATTCTCATCACCTTGCTCTGCATCTCTCTAATTGGCCCAAATCCTGAGCAATGCCATTCAAAACCCGACTTTCCTTTTTCAGTCACTGGTGTCTTAAATAAGGGAGTGTTGAAAGGAGTGGCTGGAGATAGGCCTCCAGCATAATGTCAAAACTTCAGTTCCCCATTTTTCTTAGCCACTAATTCTTGTTTTTTTTTTTTTTTGTTTTTTTTTTTTGAGATGGAGTCTTGCTCTGTCACCCAGGGTGGAGTGCAGTCAGTGGTGTGATCTTGGCTCAGTGCAACCTCCACTTCCCACGTTCATGCCATTCTCCTGCCTCAGCCTCCCAAGTAGCTGGGACTACAGGTGCCTGCCACCATGACCGGCTATTTTTTTTTTTTCCGTATTTTTAGTAGAGAGGGGTTTCACTGTGGTAGACAGGATGGTCTCAATCTCCTGACCTCATGATCCACCTGCCTTGGCCTCCCAAAGTGCTGGGATTATAGGCGTGAGCCACGGCACCTGGCCGCCACTCATTCTTAGGAAAGCTTTAAGGGACATGTGGGTTTAGAATTTGCTTTTATTCTTTGGGATTGAAAAATCGTTGCAGTGTCCCTGAAAGTAAGGTCACTGTGTTCAGACTGCTCTAAGAACTTTATGGGAGTTCTTTCACTATGCAAATGATGTTTGTAATAATAATCTGTATTTGTCACCCATACTTGGGACAGAGGCACTTTTAGCAGTTGGTTCTATTTAATACTATACTCTAAAGTAATACAATTATTTCTTTTAAAAAATACCCTCTAATTAAACAGTCACACGAATCATCCTAACCTCTCCATTATATCCTGTTACTGAGCTCTGGCCTTATTTCCTAAGGAACTGGAAAATATGACTGCCCTAGGTTTGCATGGGCTTTGGAAATACTATGTCCTCATTCAATTAGAAAGCAAGATTCATTCTTAACATCTTTATACTAACCAAAAGACAGTTTCCTCAAAGTGGATTAGCACGCAAGTTTGACTTGGTGGCTTCATATGTGTACATTGCTGTATCAGGTAAAAATGGAGAAATATTGGACAAAAATTATGCAACTCAAAGACTAAGGAGGTGGTCATTCTATCATACTTTATAACCTCCTAATAAGTGCTACCAATAATATTTAAATCATGGCTTCAGTTAGTGTAAATATTCATAAGAAGCCAAAATGTTCAGAATATATAAGTTCAGAAAATATTATTTTTATATATATATATAGTGTGTGTGTGTGTGTGTGTGTGAGAGAGTGTGTGTTATTTAGAGATGGGGCCTTGCTATGTTGCACAGGCTGGACTCTAACTCCTGGGCTCAAGTGATCCTCCTGCCTCAGACTCCTGAGTAGCTGGGACTACAGGCATGAGCCACTGCACCCTCGGACTATTTTTATTAGCAGGGAGTACACTGTTAGTGCCAGATAATATTATTCTACTAACTAAACAATGCTCTTGTGCTTTGTTTGCTTGGAATGGGAGAGAGTAGGGGAGTATATAATTTATGGGGACTAGAAATAAGAGTTTCTTGTGGAGAGCAGTTTTCATTTGATTTTTCTTGCTTCAATTTCACGTTTGCTGTTTATCATCTAGTTCTTACCTTGTTTACATTTTCAAAAGATCAGTGATTCTCACTATGTTTTTTTACTGAGTCAGGGCTCAGTAACAGTGGTTGACGTGGCAATGCTGGGGTATGGGGGAAAGGGATCTGAAGGGACCCCAAATGATTCTGCTGCTCATCCCTCCTCTTGTGGTCAATACTCCCGAGCCCTCCGTACTGCCCTCCTACCTCCTCATGTGTTGGATTAGATTTATTACAGCTGCTGTGGACATGGTTGCCTAAATCTGTGGAATGTTTTGCTAAACGCTGCTGGTGCAATAGTACACATTAAGCTTATAATTCCCATTGTTGTTTTCTTGAACCCGTTCTTTATACTTAGTCTTTTACTCACTTGATCACTTTATGATTTTGCACTTTGACATCCTGTAGATTCATTAAGAATTTTTACTCCAAGCCCCAGAACTTTGTTTAACATTATGATTAGCCAAATTGTTATTGTGTTTGAGCTAAGTGATGACAATGTATTTGATTGGAGCCTTGTAATTGTTATTTTAAAATCAAAGTAATGGATTTTGATCTCAGAATAAGAACATGATCCAAAAGAATAATAATGATAATAATTAGAACAGCAACCAATTAGAAGAAAATAAATGCCCTATCATGGACCAGAGGCCCTATGTGCCTGGGCCCTGCCTACCTGTGCAGTCCCATCTCCCACCCACATCTACCCTTCCCTGGATTAGCCTCACTGCAGCCTTCCGGTTTCTTCTTTCCTGTCTTGGGAGTTACATGCATTGTTCTCTCTACTTGAGAGCTCCGCCACTGGTGTTTCTCTTGGTTAGCTCCTTCTAGTCTCACCCACAGTCTCACTTTGCTAGGGAGGCTTTCCCTGGCCACAGCATCTAAAGTCGTCTCCTTCCACTACACCACCTGTCCACACAAGCACATCACTGTCTCTCACAGCATGCTGTTTGTTTCCTTCAACGTTAAGAAACCTAACTCGTGTTTCCTTGATACTTGTCCATCTTTCCCACTGGCCTCTAAGCTCCATGAGGGTGAAGATTATACCTGCCCCATTTGCCATTGCAGCCCCAGTGCTTTCCTGGGACCTGGTATTAAGTGGATGCTCAATACATATTTGTAGTTGAATTAATGGATTATTTGGAAGTATCATCTTTTTCCCAAGCCCATATCCAGATAGCCTATGCTTAGTACTTCCTGAGTCTATTTGTGATAACATATGATCTTCCAGTGGTAGAATTTAACCAAGCTGTGCTGACTTTTCTCAGGCATATGAAAGATCAGAATAAGAAGGTGGCCAACCTCAAGCACAATCAACAGTTGGAAAAGAAGAAAAATGCTCAGCTACTAGAAGAAGTCCGCAGGCGAGAAGATAGCATGGCTGACAACTCACAGCATTTGCAGGTAAGCACGGGCTTCTGTTCTTAATCCCTAAATAACTAGAGATGGACTCTCTCAGAAATGTCACCATTGCTGCTGGAAGATATTCACAGAAATGGTGGACTTTGCCTTTGCCTGGGTCTAGCACTAACAAGGAACCCAGTAGGTCTTTCCCAGGGAGGGTCATCATTTTCAGAACGGTGGCCATGAAAAGCCAATTACGGTAGAGCCTAGAAATACAACGCAGAGTCTTTTGGTTCCTGTAACTCACCTTAAAAGGTAAGGGCTGCATTTATATAGTTGGCAAGAAACTTAAAACATAGAAATGTCTTCATTTTCAATTTATATTTAAATTATTTTGGGAATAGAAGAAGGCAAATGTGTGTGTATTATCACAGAAGGTATTTGGGTGAGGATGCATTCAGCTGATCCCAGGCAGTTTACAAAACCAGTTTTGTTTTGTTCAAGACTGCGAGGCTCAGGCACAGATCATTATTCTGTCTTCTCCGTGAATATAGTTATCTTTCAATGGACAGTTCTATCTTAGAAACAAACCAACTCACTGGAAACACCAATTTTTCCTCATTAACCACCCTTATTTTTGGCCAAGGAGTGCTCCCCATGTACTCAATAAAACATTCAAGTTAAAACAGGGCATTTGCTTTGAAGTTTCTTTATTTATTCCAGGGTGCCTTTAAACAGAGCAGTTCAAGTTGGCTGGAGTTCATGTTAAATTTTGGTTATTAATTAGTGTCTTTCTCCAGTCATATATTAGGTTTCCTCCTTGGAGATAGGAGAAGTTAGATAATTTCAATATGTACTCATAGTTCATCTTTTTAATTGGCCAAAAGAAAAATCAATAATTATTCCAGAGTAGGAAATACAAGGAAGTACTTTGCATAGGGCATGGCACATGGGGACTCGTTAGTCAATATTAGTGTTTTTTTTTTTTTTTCTCTCTGTGTCCTAGACATGCCTTCTGGTGTCACTGAAGGCCCTTTACATTGATGCCTGATTTGGAGCGTTCACTGAATAGTGAGACAATAGTAGGTGGGCCCAGAACTTTTTTTTTTGTTTGAGATGGAGTCTCCCTCTGTCACCCAGGCTGGAGAGCAGTGGCGTGATCTTGGCTCACTGCAAGCTCCACCTCCAGGGTTCATGCCATTCTCCTGCCTCAGCCTCCCATGTAGCTGGGACTACAGGTGCCCGCCACCAGGCCCGGCTAATTTTTTTTCTATTTTTAGTAGAGACGGGGTTTCACCATGTTAGCCAGGATGGTCTCAATCTCTTGACCTCGTGATCTGCCTACCTCGGCCTCCCAAAGTGTTGGGATTACAGGTGTGAGCCACTGCACCCGGCCAGGTGGGCCCAGAACTTTAAAGAGGACCTGACGCTAGGGGTCACCTTGCTATGGTGTATTCTGTAAAAGAAGAATAATAATTGCATCTGCTTCAGAGTAGTTGTGAGACTTAAAGAGTCAAAGCATATAAATAATTTAGAATTGACTATGCCCAAAATAAGCGTTCATGACTAACGGTTGTTATAACAAGGAAAAGGTAAATGAAACATTAAAAACGATTTGTCTACTATATGCAGAGGTATTTCTACAGTTCTAATCTGATATGCAATGAGCATCAAAGTTTTTATCTTTTCTATATATAGTAATTTCTTCTTTTCTAAGGGCACATCTAGTTATGGAAATTAATGTCTTGTTTTGGCCCATGAACTTTTGTAGAGCAATATTTTCATAATGGGCCTTGATAACTACCTCATAGCCCTATTCATAAAAGATAGCATGGTCTGGAATTGCTTAGTTGCATTCCTGATCACCCGAAATAAAGGATAGCATTCGAAATGCAGTAAAAAGTAATCACGATTACTTTTGATGAAAATGTCTCTGGTTAAGGTTAATAGAGAGTAAACCTCCCACTTCCCTGGATTGTTAAGCAGACGTGCTCAGATGTAGTAATTACTGCCTTCTGAAAACAAAACTTTCTGGAGGCACTTGACTTTTTTAATATTGTTGTTGTTTTGAGCATTTCTCGTTTACAAGTTAGCCTGTTAAGCCTTTAAGTGTCAGTCAACCGGGATTTAGCCTGGCTGGTTGGTGGTTGTGGCAATGGCACCTGTTAATTTTTATTTATTCTACACAAGCATTTGGTAACAACTGGATACACTGGCTTCATGATTTCAACCAACCCAATAGGTATTATATCCAGAAAAATATAATGTAGTGTATTGCCTACAACAGTAACAGCTAGTGGATCAGGCTTCAAAGAAGAGCACCAAGAGATTCAACTAGTTGGTATGAAAGTTGGTAAAAAAGTTGAATGAAGATAGAGTGACTATGTTTTTTATTGTTCAAACCAGAACACAAAAGGCATAGACAAAATCTGCGTCACCTCAGTCAAACCTAGATACATAGCACAGTACGAAACATTTTACAAATCCAGTCTTCTTTATTTCATAAGTTTATAGTTTTCCGACAGAAATTGCAAACTCAAATGCTTTCAGAGTCTAGGCTTTTAACATAAGAAACAGGCTTGTGTGTAGGAAAAATAATGATGTCTGGTTCTTTCTGCCTGTTTTTTATGGTTTATTTTTGGTAGAGATGTGTCAGTTAGCAATTGCCATAATAATGCTGTGCTGTGCAACAAATCACCCCAAAACCCAGTGGCTTTATAGTACCAATAGTTTATTCTTACAGATTTGCAGGTTGACTAACTGGCCCAGCTGCTCTAAGGTGGGTTTGACTGGGCACTTCTTCTACTCACTGCATGTCTGTGGTGGTGTCTGGGGCAGCTCTGTTACACGTGTCCATTCTGAGGCTGAAGAGGTGTGAGCAACCCAGGGAAAACTCTTCTAGTGACAGTTGCTGAGGCACAAGAGAATAAGCAAAACATGCTAGGCCTCACAAGGCCTAGTCTTGAACTGATATTGTGATTTTCACCCTTTGCATTGGCCCAAAGCAAAGCACATAGCCAAGCCACAGATTGGAAAAGTACACTCTACTCACAAAGACAAAAATGTATGGGAGTAGATACGAGGAGAGGTGAAGAATTGGGGCCAATTATTCAGTCTATCAAAAGAGACAAGCCCTGGAGAAGTATTTCTCTATTATAAGAAAAATAGCATATGCATAATGAAAAAGTTCAGCTGTGGGTGGCCTTAGTGTGTGGATATACTTGAGGGTGGTGGGGAGCTGAAGGGAACTCAAGAACCCTTACTCATCTAAGGGAGTAGTGGCCACTACGCTCTGGTTGAACACTGCTGTAAAGGTGGGCCTAGGGTGGTGGGTGGGACCCCCGATTGTCCAAGATAATCCATAAAATGGGAATTTGTATGTGAAATCTGTGGACTTTAGGAAGTTAGTTGAATTTTTAAACACTCTGGGATCCTGTGAAGCACACGTGCACATGAGTTGCCCACTGGCTTGTGGCCTCTGCTGCGTGGCTTGGCACTTTGATCCCTGTGGGTCTACATAGTGTAAATAAACTGACTAAGAATACACCCTAGTTAGCCGAACTTGACTCATTGGAAAGGTGGCAGTTTAGTATTTGTCCTGAGTCCTCATTTTGTTTGAAGATACTTGAATTATTGTTTCTTAAAGGAAATCATCCACAATCTACAGGAGTAGGGAATGTTCTTGATTTAGCTTCTCAAATCATTTTTTGGAGCATTGACAAGGAGAACAGGAAGGGAAGGATGCAGAACTATGGAGTTGAACTAGCCAGTGTCCAAATACTGGCCCTTATTATTATTAGCTTAAGGCCTTGAGTATGGCAGAGAATCTCTCTGACCCTTACTTTTTTCATCTGTAAATGGGGATTGCAATCTTTATCTCCCTGGGTGGGTTAAATAAAATAAGGTTTGTGAAAGAACCTAGCACAGTACCTGACATATGTGGACTTCAGTTACTAGAGTTTTCCCCCAGAGAGACTGATAATGAGCTTTTAATCATAGAAGACAGTGACCATTGGGAGTATCAACCAACAAATTCTTTGCAACTATTTTACACTGATGAGTAATACAGATATAGAACACACACCAGTAAATGGAAATTCCCAATAAAGCATTAAAAAAACATTTTGGGCAATAAGGAGGAAAATTAAAACATTCTTCAAGTTAATGTTGAATTGTGTGTGAAAGGTGGATGTGAAAGAGCGTGATTTTCTTGTATAATTCTGCAGAGCTTTTCCCAGAACACAGATTATAGGGCATGATATTTTTGTCTGACCTTGGGGCTTTGGGCTTCTGTGTGTCCCATCAGAGCCCACATGGAGGTTTTTCAACAAGGTGTCTTTCTGGAGATTCACACTAAATCGTCATTTCCAGAATGGGATGCTTTTTTTTTTTTTTTTTTTTTTAAAGCTCTACCTATTTCTCACTGAGTAAATATGCCAATTTGAAACCCCAGTGGATATCCTTGTAGATTTTGGCTGCATTTTTCCATGTGTAGCTTATCGAGTTAATAAACTAACTTTCTAAAAAATGCACAAGCCAATGTTTTATGCTCCTTTTCTGTTATATGTCTGCAGAATTCTCTTCAATTTATTGCCTGAAAACTAAAGTCTGTTCTTGTGTGCTTCCGTTTCCAAATTATAGGTTCCCAGGGAACCGTAAAGTTTCTTCTCTGCCCGTGGTTAAACCCAAGTGTGATCACTTTAAAAAGCAAATGAATGTTCTCATTTATTCTATCCTTTTAATAGAATTCTAAAAAAAAAAAAAAAAAAAAAAGGCTAGAAAGACAATTTTATTTTTTAATTTGTGTAACCCTGTACAGCCAATATCTTTTTTGGAAGGGGACTTCCTTTACTTTCCTCCTCCAATTAGAGTTGGAATCAGCTAACAGAGGAAGTGTAACAAACAACATAAACCTCAAAAATGCATAGCTTTCAGCAAAACATATAGTTCATTATGGAGTTTCCAAGGTTTGCTAAGTTGTTTCTTTGCAGAAGGATGTGTATATCTTAAGCAGCAACTTTTTAAGCTTCATATCTATATGTTCATCTCTCCAAGTCACT